TGCCTGCAGCTCTTACACACCTTCTGGTTGCACAGCAACAATACCCTCCTGCTGCACCTGCTGGTGCTGCTGCGATGGTTGTGCCAGCTTACCAGCCAGTCCAACCGAACGCACCTGTGCCCATATCTGACGTCTACAGGATGTCTCGGAGCGTCAAGAAATTCAACCCTCGACCAGGTAATTCATACCTGGTTGACACATATCTGAGTGACCTCTGACATCACTTTCAGCGATGTCCGGGAATGACCTTGGAGGACAAGATCTTTGTGATAAGGTTAACCTTCGATGCCGTGGGTTCGCTTATTGATTGCAAGCGTAATTTGATCGCAAATGATTAGGACAAGCTGGAAGCTGCGATTCGGAAAGAGTACACTTATGATGCTAAGGAGACTGGTGTACGGTTAGCTTTGTCAGTCAAACAGGGTCGTACTGAAGACCCACAAGCCTTCTATCTACGCCTCTTCGATGCATACTTTGGTACGCAATGTAAGGACGGGATGGAAGAGGAGAAAGGTTTCAAGGAAATCTTCCTTGAGAATCTACATGCCCAGTATAACCCATACATGGGTACGGTATACATTAAAACCACACCCATGGATGAGCTCAGAAGTTGTGCCTTTACACGGTTTGGCAAATCCAGTAATAGTTCACATGCTCCATCAGTTCTGGCGGTGGAGGCAAACCCCTCCTCGCTGCGACTCGAAGGGACTGCATCAGGGACTCATAAAAATGAAAAAACTTTGATTCAGCCATAAATCAAAACATCCAGATTAATAAAACCAGTCCCCACTCCATCTTAGATCAGTTCATCGCATTCTGAGAGAAGTATTGGACTGGCCACCCGGACTTCCTTTTTAAGCAAAGAACCAACAAGCTGGATAAAATCTGTTGCACTTTACCAACCAAGCAACGGTTCCTTTCAGAGTAAAAGCTGACCTCACTGACCCTCCGGGTCCATCTAACGCTGTCAACCAACTGTTGCTTTTTACCTGGAGACAATCCAAAGACTAGTCTGTCGTACTGCTGACGCTGTTTCATCGGCTCCGGTACCAAAGGGGGGTCTGAGGACCTGGCATTCTGGATCTGTACGGAGGTCTCATTTTAAGGGTAGGTGTGGAGCGACAAAATGGCGTCTTATGTGTTTATGAAACTCCGATCAAAGCTTAAGAGCAAAACATCACTTCATCACTCAGACTTGCTTCTCCGGATACGAGAGTTCTGATGACAACTTCACTCACACATATACCATTCATCTCACGTCTCATTCACACCTAGATCCATTCATCACTTAGAGTTTAGAGTTAGTCTTGTTTAAAATTGTTTAGAAACAAATATTCTTTAACGTTTTAAAGGTGACTCTCTCTTCTCTTGTCTCTCAGTTAATGCAACGTGTTACATAATCCCTGCAATAAAAAGCTCCAGTCTTCTGGTTAAAATGACCCAAAGGTCCATAAGATTGATTTCAAATTTACTATTGAATCTCATGTCTTATGGTTCATTTAACAGATGTAAATTAAATCCTTACATAATGACGAGCCTTTTGCCTCTCTTCTCCTGGGACTTCTTTTGATGATATAGATCTTCATCTCCCCTCCCCCTTCCACACCTGGTGTGGAGTGTGGAGCCTTGGTCTGCCTGAGCGTTCGTGGCTCCCGGGTCAGGGGGTTTAAGATTTTTGGCGTCTGCCTGATCAATCCCGGTGGCTGTCTGGTGGGGTCTGGGTCCCTGGGCTCTGCTGGGTCCCCGGCGGGGGTGGTCGCCCCTGAGTCCCGGGTTGCTGGGTCCCGGGCTTGGCCGGCTAGGGGGTGGGAGGCTGCAGGTGGGCCTGCGGGCTTGCTGCTGATATCTCCCGGGACTCTGCCGGCTGCTGGTTGTGGCCCCCCGGGACGATACTCTGCCTCTCGAGGAGGGCAGGGGCCTTTCTGGGGTTCCTGTGTTCTGGGGCAGCGCCTGGATCTCTGGGACTTGGAGCTCCCTCTGTCTCCTACACATCTTTGGGGGACAGATCTGTGGTCCCTCACACTCTCTATTGGACACTTTCATAGAGAAACCTTACATAAACAAGCGCATGTACACACACAGGTGCTGACCTGGTGCTCTCAAAAGTATGGGCTTGAGCACGTTCAATACATGTCTTAAGGCTGTCGTTGCCACTAAATGCACTATGATTTATTATTGTGTAATTGTTCAGTTAAACAATGTTGATTTTATATTTCATCATCAGGCTGACGCAGTGATAGCTTGCTCCTGATGTATTGTTGTGTGTTCCATTTTTTCTATTCTTTCTCTTTCTGCAGGTCTAGAAGCAGACTCTTGTTCATTGCTGTTTATTTTTGTGGACCCCCCCCCCCCCCCCCCCCCCCCACACACACACACACACACACACACCTTTTGTCTTTCCCTTTCTCTTTCACATCTGACTCCGTGTCTGGTCGGAATTACAAAGCATTCAAAAACAATAACAATAAAGTTTTAAGTATCAGGCGTGACATTAAAAGCAGACACTTTGATGCTCCACCTGAGAGTAAATCTGTAAGGCTTGTTACCAGCATTCAGACATCAATTCTGTTTGCTTCACAACCAGACAGGACACGGGGGAAAAAATAAAAAAAGAAAGAAATCTTCTTAAACGTTTTAACGGTGACTCTCTCTTCTCTTGTCTCTCAGTTAATACGAAGTGTTACATAATCCCTGCAATAAAAAGTTCCAATCTTCTGTTTAAAAGTACCGAAAGAGCCATAAGATTGATTTCATATTTACTATGGAATCTCATGTCTTATGGTTCATTAAATAGATGTAAATTAAATCCTTACACATGTTATTCTGAAATGGGAAGAAAATCACACCCAAGCTCCAAAATTCTCAAAATGCCAATGGGGTTCCTTTTGAAAATGTCGAATTTTCTAAATACTTAGGAATTAGAAATGGTCTGAACTTTTCATTTCAATTACTTAAAGAGACTATTTGTAGTTTTTACCGTTAATCTCTGGAAATATCCATTGAAACATTGTTGAAAATGAATTAAATAATGTCCAGTTGTTGAAAAAATATTAGAAGCTTTGTAACATATAACCATAAAAACCAGGACTTAAGTACATAGTGCTCGAGTCTAGCGTCTTTGTGAGATGCCATGTTTCCTTCTGGCCAGCTTGGGGTCCTCCGCCTGTTGATGACATCACACTAGATGATTGGCTGGACTTAAGGAAAACAGAAACACAAATTTAATAACAAAAGAGCTCAACTCTGTCCAAAACTTATGTAAAAGAAACAGAATTGAAAAAGAGTTATATTTTGGCCGAGTGTTATTGTCGTAGTAGGATGACATCATGAGCAGGCGCACAACCCCGAGCAAATCCAGAAAGTACAATGCCAGAAAACTACAATTGGCATTGCATTCTCTCTATGGAATTCACTGAAGGAATATCGAAGTCTGACGAGACATGCCGAATTCACATGTTTTCTCCAGCAGTAGCTCAGAATGTTGAGCGGGTTGCCCAGTAATCGGAAGGTGGCAGGTTCGATCCCGGCTCCGACCAGAGAACGCTGCTGTTGTGTTCTTGGGCAAGACACTTAACCTGCCTTGGCTGGTGGTGGTGGTCAGAGGGACCAGTGGTGCAAGTGTTCAGCAGGCCTTGCCTCTGTCAGTGCTCCCCAGGGAAGCTGTGGCTACATCGTAGCTCATCCCCACCAGCGTGTGAATGGGTGAATGACTAATTGTGCTGTGAAGTGCCTTGGGGGTTGTAGAAACCTAAGAAGGCCCTATACAAAATACAGGCTATTTATCATTCTGCTCCACAGGTAACGACATTTGTCTTAATGTTTTTAAACTTGCAACAGTCAGGACAATATGATATGAAACTACCCTGAAATGTATGTATGTATGTATGCATGTATGCATGTATGTATGCATGTATGCATGTATGCATGTATGCATGTACGTATGTACGTATGTATATCTAGCACTGCCAATTAAAAGGTAGACTAGGTAGTTTTGGCTGGCTTTTAGCAATCCTTAGTGTCCGTTTGTAGAACCGAAAGCAAAACCTGTCTCCTCGCTGTGCGTTCATCGTTTTAATACCTTAATTGAAGAGCTGAAATGCCTCACTGGCATTCCTTAGTGTCTACAAGAGTGATTCATCACAAATCTATGGAGCTGAGATTGGGACAATGTAGCATGATTGGTTACATTTTGCAACACATATTTCTCATTTTATAATCTGTAACTTTTGTTTTGTAGCATGTAATTCTGATTTCATAACATGTAACATGGAACTTTCATTTTGTAACTTGCAGAAAAAAAACAAATGGGTAACACTTTATAATAAGTGCACACTATTAAGCATTAGTTAATCATCAGTAAAGCATTGGTTAATGGTTATTTAATCATTTGTAAAGCATCTGCAAAAAGATTATCATAATTACTTAACAGCTTACAAGCACCACTATTAAGGCTTTATTCATGATGAAGAAGCTACCGTGTCACACTTTTTATTCATGATGTTTCATGATCTATAAGTCATTGATTAATCATTTATACTCTGCTCTCCATCATTTACAAACCAGTCCTTTCATGATGTAAAACAGTATACAATCCCACTGGTAAAGGGTAAGTAAATAGTTAACATACCCTATTTAATACTATAAACTAAACATTTACTACACATACTAGAGTCTCACTAGATGTTTTCTAAACACTGAATCTCACGACTACATCAGTCAGCTACTAAATGTTAACAAATGTCTTACATTTACAATTGTCACTTGACGGCTTCCAAAGATGCAGCTCCCTACCGACCCACTTCTTTTTAAATAGATAATCTATCAGTTATTATAAATACATTAATAAACTACTTTAGAACGTTACAAACCATTTACTACTTCTTAGTTAAGTATTTTGAGTGAGCTCATCTAAAGTGGAGACTATATATACCTTACAACCTATTAATAAATGTGAAAGTTTTTCAAAATACATTGTAATAAAAAATAAAGGACAACACAGATACAGAAAGCACTTTATTTTTAAGATGCCAATTATAAAACATCAAAACAATGCTTACAAATATTGACACACAACTGTCAAAACAAACATTGTGCTGAACCACTATTAGCCAGTATTTGAAGTAAAGAACAAGGCTCGATGCACTTTTATGAATTGTATGTTTTTACATGAAATGCTCAAATATTTTCAAAAGGTGAAAAAAAACCTGCAGTTGCAACAGTAACTTTTTTATCTGTATTTTTTTTTAAATGTCATATATCAGTCTCCCTAAAGCACCCTGTTTGTGCTTTTTTGCAAGCCATTCGTTCCACTCAATAACTGTAAGGTGTTCTGATAGTAGGCTGTCATTTCTGTTACCCCGGAGTCTCCAAATTCTCTCCTTGTAAGACCTCCAGGCTCTCTGCAGATGTTGGGTATAGGCACCTGTTAGAGGGTCCACATACCATCTGCTGTGGTTAACAGTATAATGTCCACAACCTACGTTTGGGAGAATGCGATAGGCCCGCCATTCATCACTTATCACCAAGGAACCAATCCTGACATGAAGAGTGATCAGAGGAACAAGATGTCTTTGAGATCTTTTCTCCACAAGACGCAAGATAGGCCTTGTTCTACGCTGATTTTTTTATGCCCAGCATTCCGAACACCCACTTTCTTCTTTTCCAGCCCCCTGCCATTCTTCCTCTCCCATACTGATGCAGAAAGAAAACAATTAAGACAAATGGCAAAAAAGTGCTGTGAAAGGTTGTCATATAGATGTAATATATAATTTCTATTACAAAACTTACCTTTCATTTGCGATGAAAATGACTCTCATCGATCACAACAAACTCCCTTCGGCCACCAATCTACTGACCTGTACGACATCTCATTCTTTGAACTGCAGCCACACATACCCTCCTTAATTTTTTGGACATTTTACTAAGTGTTGTCGTACTGCCTGCAATGGTGTCATCCATCATGTCAATTTGACGTAATCTGAGATCCTGAGAGAATCTTCAGGGAGAAAAATAACATCCTTACAAAGAGTCATTTAAATTTAGTTCCTTTTTGTGTAGTGTTTATGCTTACCTGTAGATAGATTGCATCCAGTGTTGAAGTGAGACTTTCGAACGGCTGAAAAGGGACTTGTGTCTGACAGAGATTTGTTTAACGCGTCCACCATGTGCTGCTCCTCGACAGATCCTATTTAAAAATTGTAACATGAAAAAATGTATGTATCATTATACGCAGTGAGTTACTTAAGTAAGAAAAAAGCATTTTGTATTTAGGGGTGGAACATCCCTTTCAAGAGATGTCCCTGTTTGCTCTGTTTCAATGAGGATTTAGGTATAAAACCAAATAATAACAATGACGTTTACAGTAAGTACCCCGGTTATTATGGCGTCCTACAAAAATAAAAAATGCATTTCTTACCAGGCATATTGGTCTCCGTTGTTCACCCTTTTCTTCAGTTTTGTTTCCTCGTGGCATACTTTGCATTTCATTTTTCTTTTAAGCAGTTTAATCTTCTGAAGATGTTTTATAAGCTTCAGTGGGCCTCTTCTAGAAAGCTCCTCGTTAATTAATTTTTTCAGTCGTGTAAAATTTCCCATTTTTGGCCAAAATATCATTTAATGAGTTTCCAGTTATGCTAGCTCTGAGCTGTAATGTGCTTCTGGCCAGAGAAAGCCGCGCATTTGCTGCTTCCGTCTTCCGACGTGACCAATAGGAGACCGCGATGCTGTGCCCTTTCACCTCTAGGGCATAACCAAGGTGGAGTAATGGCTCCCTCTAGCACTGTGAACATGACGAGCCCTGGTCGATCTACAATAGGCAGGCGAACGAGGGCAAAAAAGGGAAGTAACGACGTGGACAAGGTGGATGTCAGTGTTACAAGTGGTGAGTGTTTTGCACTTTATTGTGTTTGGTTATTTTGTTGGAAAAAACTACCATCACGGGGCTAGGCGCTAACCGCTAATAAGCGGTTAGCTTAGCTTTTAGCTTACATTCAAGCTCCACAAAAGCAATGTGCAGTGTATGTTACTAGTTATTTTTGTGACCCAGTTAAAGGAATAATTAAGGATTATTGCTTTTGGAATATCTATGGGCTGCTATTAGTGTACTTTCTGCAATTTAGTTTGTCATTCTGTAGCTTTTTTGATGCATGTCTATGCAATATAAATATGCAATAAATGCTCTACATTATACAGTCTAATACAATATATTTGAAATACATTAATATATAATTATTGTCAAGTAAGCAAGTTTCTAAAAACAACTTAATATAATTTGTAATTTTACCACAGCAGGCTATGTATTAATCATTGCAATGATTTTACTGTTATTCATATTTTACAAACTGTATTATGATTGCATTTTCTGCAGTTGTTGTTTAATCAGTTGTTAGTTGTATTAATAGCCTAATTTCTTTTTGTTTTCAATTTTCTCTAGGTGTGACTATTGCTCCAACTGCACAGCTGACAGACAGAAGACGATCACAAGAGGTGGAGATCTGTAAGATGAAGCTAGAGTGGCAAAAGGATTAGATTGATGAGCTCACCAAAGAAAGAGACTATCTAAAGGAGCAATTAGCAGCATGTAAGTCCACTATTAAAAACATTACATAGCATGACAAATACTTTATTTGCTTTAGCATTTACTTAAGCATTCTGTTCTGTAACTTTGTCTGTGTTGTCTGTTTAACTGTTTTACTAGGTCTCACAAAAGAACCCACAAGGTCTGTCCAGCATCCCAGTGACGTACTGAGCATGTCTTCGCTTTCCTCTGACGGGTCATTTGATAAGGGTTCTGACTCCTCCACGAGCACAACTTCATCACATGAAGACAGTCAGAAGAGGAAGAAGAAAGGCAAAGCCAAAAAGAATAAGAAGTCAAAGAAACATGACCAAATTGCAAGAACAAGAGGTAAAGTGATTAAATCTTTCTATAATTTGATCCTACATGCTGTATTGTACTGCTGTTCTTCTGAGTTGGTTATGTTATTTAACCCTTCTAGTGTCCCTAGAGACTTATGTGTGACTAAAATTAAATAATCTTTCATAAATTCCAGTTTTTAGATTGCTTTCATCCTTAGCTTGAAAACTCACAAATGTAATAAAGTAGAGCTGGCATGTCTGTTCTCACGGTGCGGGGGCTCTTTCCGACGCCCATACAGTATAAAAATGCAAATGACGACTTTAGTCGTCATTGGCAGTTAATGAGTAAATTTAGAAATATGTGTGTTACATCCCTACACTATTACATAAAATTAATAATCTCAATATAACACATTTGTTCTCTAAATTGCAGCCCAGAATCCCAAACAAGTGGTCCCCCGGTATGAGAGGATTTTGAGGCTGTTCAAAAAAGGAGGGACCATGTCAGCTGCCTTTAAACGTCTGGGAGTGGACCGGAACACAATTGTGGCAACTGCTCCAATTGCTGAGCTTTTCATTGTCGCACCTGATAGGTATAAAGAATTAGAAAAAAACAAACAGGGTAAGAAACTGTCATTGTTTGCAACACAGTGTGCTGCAGCAATCAGTGCAGATCCAGAAATAGAGGACAAACGTGAGTCCTATAAGTCTTCTGGGAAGTTGCTTCCTCTTAAAAAAAAAGACTAGATTTTAGTGGTTTTTTTACATTGTGAAATGTGGTGATAGGTCACCATTGTTAACTGCAAAAAGGGCCAGATTTAGTTATGTAGTCCAGTTGATTGGCAGATTTGTGTGATAAAAAAAGACACTCTATTTTTGGTTTGCATGACTTTTATTATTTTTTTACTGTTAGATTCTATGTTTATTTTAAAGATCACACATGTGATACATTTCATGTAAAAACATACAGGTCATAAAAGTGCATCAAGCCTTGTTCTTTACTTCAAATACTGGCTAATAGTGGTTCAGCACAATGTTTGTTTTGACAGTTGTGTGTCAATATTTGTAAGCATTGTTTTGATGTTTTATAATTGGCATCTTAAAAATAAAGTGCTTTCTGTATCTGTGTTGTCCTTTATTTTTTATTACAATGTATTTTGAAAAACTTTCACATTTATTAATAGGTTGTAAGGTATATATAGTCTCCACTTTAGATGAGCTCACTCAAAATACTTAACTAAGAAGTAGTAAATGGTTTGTAACGTTCTAAAGTAGTTTATTAATGTATTTATAATAACTGATAGATTATCTATTTAAAAAGAAGTGGGTCGGTAGGGAGCTGCATCTTTGGAAGCCGTCAAGTGACAATTGTAAATGTATTGTAAGACATCTGTTAACATTTAGTAGCTGACTGATGTAGTCGTGAGATTCAGTGTTTAGAAAACATCTAGTGAGACTAGTATGTGTAGTAAATGTTTAGTTTATAGTATTAAATAGGGTATGTTAACTATTTACTTACCCTTTACCAGTGGGATTGTATACTGTTTTACATCATGAAAGGACTGGTTTGTAAATGATGGAGAGCAGAGTTTATAAATGATTAATCAATGACTTATAGATCATGAAACATCATGAATAAAAGTGTGACACAGTAGCTTCTTCATCATGAATAAAGCCTTAATAGTGGTGCTTGTAAGCTGTTAAGTAATTATGATCATCTTTTTGCAGATGCTTTACAAATGATTAAATAACCATTAGCCAATGCTTTACTGATGATTAACTAATGCTTAATAGTGTGCACTTATTATAAAGTGTTACCAACAAAGGTACAAGTTTCAAATCAAAACTCTCATAATAGATCAATATATTTTGTAATTGAATGCACATACTTTGTTTTAAAGATACAACAATATTTGATAAATGTCAAGATAAATAAAATACCACTGTTTATTGTATCATTGTAGTGTTGTTCAAAATTCTTCTAAATGAAAAAAGTTATGAAACTGTAAATAAATAATTAAGACCCTGCTCCATGTACTGCTATTCCTCTTCTATGCCCTCTGGAGTAACTATGATGAGGAGACCCTGTTGTAATGGGAAATAGTAGAGTATTGTGGGCTAAATAAATTGCTTTAAAAGCTATTTATTTCTATTCTCATTACTTGTGACCGATAGCTGTAATTAGGGTTGTCACGGTAACCGGTGTAGCGGTAAACCCCGGTAAAAAAGTTGACAATAATAATAACCATCTTGTTTTTAAAAAAATATATTATCTCGGTGGATTACCGTGGCTGCGGTGAAGGCGCGATGACCCTTACCAGCCACCGTATCATCTGCTGAAGTTGCTGGCGGCACATGCGCACTTTGTTGTTTACAACCAAAACTTTCTTGAAGCTAAAGCTGAAATGATGGCCAAAGGAGGAGACGGCAGCGCTCAGGACATTTATTATCCCTCAAAGAAGACAAAGTCGGAAGTATGGGCATTTTTTGGATATCTGAAGAATGCCGAGGGACAGCTGATAGAAGACGGCTATCCTGTTTGCAGCACGTGCAGAAAAAGTGTCTGAAGGCAGCAACGCTTCAAATCTCATGACACATCTGCGTGACCATCACCCACAACTCTACAGTTAACGCAAGGCAAGCTAACGTTAGTGTTTTAGCTAAAATGCATGATCCGAGGATTTGGGTTGAGGGAGAATGCAATGAGTCGCTATATGAAGCAGCTGCAGTGCCTCTACCTGCATATAAATCGTGTCACGGACACCCCCATGTTTAAATGACGCTATGCATTACAGGGCTCCCAGGGGCAGATAAGAGTTGGTCTCTCTCCGAGAATAATTATGAATTTAACAATGATTACTGCCTGATGACATTTTCCCACATCTGCAAAGCTCACTGGAAGGACACAAACCGAGGACAATATTTTCCTGATTTAGGTTTTATTACTCAAGTAAGGGTAAAAAAGTATCTGATTAGAAGGCTACTTGAGTACTCAGTATCGTATGGTCTAATATTTTTAAAATGATGACATCAAACAGACACAAAATAAGAAGTTATGGGCAAATATTGGTATTTTAAAGACTAAAGGGGAAAAATTTAAACAAATAAACAACATAATTACAAAATAACAAATTTTAGGCAAAATTTAGACACAGACTGAGGACAATATTTTCCTGATATACAGGGTTTATTTAGTTGTCTGAAAATGTAACACATTTAAAAAAATACCGCGATAATACTGAAAACCGTGATAATTTTGGTCACAATAACCGTGAGGTTAGATTTTCACACCGTGACAACCCTAGCTGTAATACTCTCTTAATTGTAGAATATCACCTTGCTTGGTCTTAGGATGATTAATTAGAAGGTTCTAGGATTCTTTTAATTATTAAGGGATCGTTCACACTTCGTTTATGATTCAAGAACCAGTCAGTGTTTGCAAACAAGTAAGAATTTATTTTACAAACAATTAAGACTTTGACAAATGGTTTAAACTATTATCCTGTGAGTGGATGGAACTAAAAGATGGGTGTCTGAAAACTATGTGTGAATATGAGATGATGAATCAGAATCAGAGATGCGTTCTGGATATAAAAGAATTTGGTTTGCATCTAAACTATTAAGTTGCTATTATCAGAACCACATGCAGACGCTATCTGTGTGTCTACATTACCCGGATTCGGAGACCCCCTTGAGGATCCGAAAGGGAGAGGGGTCGGATGACCACTGGCACCGGAGGGCTGTAGAGTACCGAGGTACCACCTTTCAGTCCAGAGATGTCTCCCTGGTCACGAAAGATGGATGGAAACCACGCGTCTTAAAATAATTCGGAAGGAGTTTTGCAAAATCAGCTTTGTTCTGCAGGAAAACTATCTTGTTGTTCAGCTTTGCAAGTGCAAAAAGGTTTAAGGTTTTGACAGAGTGTCAAAATCTTTCTGAGCTAGAGATCTGCTAAGAGATGGCCAGTCTCTAGCTTTCTCTCCCGACTGCAGAGAAAGCAGAGCGGCTGGTTTATATACCCGCTGTTATCTATGGCCAAACTTACCAAGAATCTCAGAAACACTCTCTGAGATGCAGAGTTTCTGATTCCAGGGACAAGGTTAGTTATGTGTCATGCATTCTTAATCTTAACCTTACTCTCAGTCTGGTGTAATGATGGCCTCATCCTGTAAACATACTAAACCATCATTGAATACAGATTCCTGAACATTTCATTGATTAATTATACATGGCAATATGTAATGATTTTTAATCATAAAATCTTCTTTCTTCAATGATTATTTTGAATTATAAAATGATTACTTTAATTATGAAATCTTCTTTTCTCTGGGAATAAACATTTATCTAAAACAGTTCTCTTGTGAAGGGCCTTGGGGAAAGGAATGCTACAGTTCATCTTCATCATCTGATGAAGCTGCGCTCAGCTGATGAAGTCATCTGATTTAAATGCTGAGTTGTGCAGACTCACAGACTCCTGACAAGGGAAGATACAGCAGAACATGTAGCAGCTAGGGTTATTTGCTCTGGCTGCATATGACCTGTGGGATCTTTCGGGATCCATTTCGTGACATTACACTGTATTATAAACTAGAAATGAAACTAAAACAAACTTCAATGCCATATACTGTATTTTAATATTGTGGTGTTTCACAAACTAAAACCCAGCTCCATGTACTCCTGTTCCTCTCCTTTCCCCTCAACTGTGTAATGGGTGGGTACTTGTAGTATTATGAACTGCAAATTAAAGAGAAGCAAAAGTCTTTACTGTGAACTAAGTTTACTGTGTATCTTCATTCCTTTTGCCGTTCTTTTTCAAACAGTTGATTTTCCTTCCTTACGAGTTCCAAGAATCAACCAAAAGCACCATTAGCTGATGTTGATGGAAGCTAAACTATCAAGCTAACGTTATCTTAAACAGTTTATTTACCTGCTGGAGCAGATTATGACAACAATGTCTCATTTGTCATCATCACCCAGTCTGCCATTGTATTTAGTGAAGTATGGAGTGACAAAATATAATAATAATATTACTATATTACAAAATTATAAACAATTTGATTGTTAAAGATGTATTTCAATGTCAAAATATGCACATTCTACCTGAGTTGATGTTTTAAAGACCAGGTTCATTGAGAAATCTTTTTCTACTTGTTACTTTTTAATGTGTAATTATTGAATTATGATTGGTCACTTTGAGTTTAGCATTTGACATCTCACTACTGGGAAAGCTTTTTGTTGATTTACTGTCCAGGAAAAAGCAGAATGTTTCTCGGGAAGTAGAAGCTAACCTTTAGCATTAGCAACTCTACAACATGACAGATCTTCAGGCTGGTGTTACTTGTATAGAGAAAACAGCAACGTTGCAAAGCAAATTAAGTCAGTGGTTTGTGAGTTAGCGAGTTGCTTTGTTGTTAGCCAATCAGAGGCGAGATGTCCAAATATCATGAATAGTAATGAGAAAGACTCTAAATCCTAGATATATGTTTAAAGAGCTTGACATTAAAGGAGTACAGTAGTCGTATAGTACAATTAAGAAGCAATAAATGCATTGAGAAAAGATTTCTGTCTTTTGGCAATGTTGTCAAAGAAAGAAGTCAAACTTTTTCAACAAGCATGCTAAATTATGTATGGTGGTAAAAAAGCATTCAAACACATCCAGTCGAAGTCAGTCTAATGTACATTTAGACAATTAAAATCCCCCCAACACCACCACCCCCTATGGTGCCATTCAGGCTTATTTTACTCACCGGTTGCACATACACAGAAGTGCTCACACACAAGCTCATTAAGTGGCCACAGCTACAACCACCTCACTGACAATAAATGTCTTCTTTGCTCAGTTAATGGGTCAGTGAACAGGCATTGTAATTTAGCATTATGACAGCTTCTCTATGGTTTAATGGTCAGAGGATAACATGACATTTCATTCAGAGTGTAAATAATCCTGTGGATGTGCCAAACGCCACGTTAAAGATGATTCATCCCACACTTCTGCAGCCTGAGCCTCGTGCCTCCTAATCTGGCTTCTGAATAAGATCAGGATCCTGCTGGGATCATGTTCAGCTCAACACCAACACCCATAATCTGACAAATCGTTTAAATAGAAGGGCTATTTGATGATATTTTTCTTGATAGAATTTCTTCTGTAACTTAATTTCCAAACATTTCCAGAAATGGAGAAAATTGGTACCTTTTCACCAAAGAAATCAAAATAGTTAGAAGTTTTTTAAAAAGTGATGAACATCAAAAATTTACTGAAAAACAACCTATTAAATTTATGAAACTGCTTTTAAGGTGTGGTTCAACCAAGAAATAAAACTATAGCAACTAATATGGCAAAAATGTAAATATTTGGGATCAAAGGCACATTCTAAATGAAGGGGTATCCTGTAATCAGCATCAAGGATGTCTTCAATCTTGTAATCAGTCAGTCTGCCTAAAGGGTCAAAAGTAGTCACAGTGAAGATCAGAGAGAAAACTACTGACTCGCAAATTATACCATACCATACCATGCAATTCAATACCACACCATTCCATACCACACCACGCTATACCATACCATCCTATTCCAAACCATACTATACCATACCATACCATTACCATACCATACCATACCATACTAAAGGTTTAGACAAGCAACCATCTGAGTTGACCAGTAAATTAAAGGTAAATAATACCATCTCCAAGAAGACTATATGCCGATTATCACTTGTAAGTCGCTTTGGACAAAAGCGTCTGCTAAAACATAAGACTGATGTTCATGTGACTACAGTTTAAAG